ATGATGCAACTTCCTAAAAATAAGTGAAGTGGTCAACATGCTGGTCAACACTACTTCACTCCTGCCTGTTTTTTTAATCTAGACGTCAGTGTAGTCTAGTCATCTTACATTTAACAGCTCGAGCGAATCGCATGCCGAACAATTGAAGATTGATTGCTTTCTGATGAAGGCGTTCGGAAGACTCTGGGGTCTATTGTTTCAGCATCTTCAACCAAAAGAAGGACTTTTGCGTCTATATTCTTTATGGCTGCCAGTTATGCTAATTTATGTCGTTGTGTGGTTGTTATTTTTGTTGTGGCGTAAAGTGTCAGTTGTCTGTGCGATAACTTATATCACCGCAAAATACTTTATGTAGATTATTCACTATTCTGTTAAATGTCTAATTATTTATTCAGACAATAAAAGAGAGAGAGAGGCGTTGACGAATTCATTCCATCTAGTGTTGAAATAATTTTTAATTTTTTAATTATTCTGTTGTTTTTTTATTGTAATTATAAGACACATGTTTAAAAAAATTGGCAGCGTAAATATGGTTTTACTGTGTGCACACCATTTCAACTGTTATGATAAAGCTTACACAACTAGGCAGGCTCGTATATCGATTGGAGAACAGTTATATACCAGCTTGGTGTGGTTTAGCAACAACCGGGTTGTCGCCGGGGGAGTGGCAGAAAATCTATTATTGTTATTGTTTCCTTTAATTCCTGGAGGAACATAGGGCTTCAGCCGTGCGTCTCCATGCGTTCGGTTCTCTGCTAGAGTCTTCACCTGGCTCCAAGTCACCCTTGTGACGACCAACTCGCCGCTTCCCTTTCGGGTTCCACTCGAGCAATGGCTTGTCTAGTGATGTCACTTGATGGTTTCCTCAGAGTATGGTCAGCCAATCCATCTCCATTTCTTCCTGCCTATTTGTTTCACAATCGGTTCCTGCTGTGTTGGTTCTGGCTGGCTGGCTGGATTCAACATAGAACTTGGTACGGAAGTACAGCAGTTCGAGTTGCCACGTTTCAAATAGCACACAAAGGTAAACAAGAAAATGAGCGATGAAGAGAAGCAGTAGAGTTTTGACAGGTTTAAGAGTGAAACAGAATGAGTGATGGTAGAGAGGAATGTGAAAGATTACAGAGACTGAATACATCTGCATAAGCCATCGACAACGATTTTAGCCATGTCACGTACTATCTCCAGCCATTGATTGTTAGAGTCCCGAGGGCGGGCCCCAACCCGGAAGTCTGCATCTCCCTACCTGACTCAGTTTAACTGTCAGGGATTTCATGGATTCTGTGTTGGTTCGCTCCCAGAGATCCCTGTTGCTGATCTTTTCTGGCCAGCCATCTGATCTTGAGCGAAGTATTGAGCAAAGACAACTGTTAATGAAGGTCTGTAGTTTGTTTCAGGTGCTCTTCATGACGCGCAGTGCAAGTCTCTGATCCGTATAGTGAGTAGCACTGACTTCACATTGGAGTTGAAAATCCGGATCATATTTTTCATTCTGAGCAGTGAGTGCTGTTGACCTCCACACAGACTTGAGAGTAGTGAAAGCTTGTCTTGCTTTTCCGATTCTTGCTTTGATATCCTCGTCAGTTCCGTCCGCCTGTAGTTGAAACGATGCTTCTCAGGTAGGTGGGTAATGGAGGTAGTTTCTTTCAGGTTCGTTCCCATTTTGCTGATTGTTGTTGTTGTTGCTGTTGGAAATCTAATGCATGATAAACTCGATTCCATCGCACTTGATTGATGGTGGTTGTGCTGGTGAATACACTGGATATCGTATCGATGCCAACATAGTCTTCAGGGTTATATATGTATGTACACACCCACCACATTCCGAAGTTACTATCACGCATAGTTCGCGTAAGTCTTCAATATATAGCTGAAGGTGTTGTGCAATAAGGACTGCTAAACCGGAGCTTTGTATTTAAAAAGGACACTTTGAAGCCTTATTCCTACTGTGGCCAAACTTAGATTAAAACTGATTCTATCCAAGAGTGCTGCTCACCCTTTTACCTCTTCTTTCTTTGGGTTTGATTATTATATAATGTGTACTCTTCATGCAAACATCCTCTCAATACTATCGAATTTTCCATTTATCCTATTATCTCTTTTCTCAATATATGCCTCCACCAATCGATTCGGCTGTGAAGCTACATCGACTGAGATAGCTAGGACATGTGTTACGCATGCCTAGCCTAGCCATCGCCCTCCTCGCCGGGCAGTGTTAACTTACATAGGGTCAGGCGGGAAAAGAACCAGTAATGGTCAAACCAAAACACGGCCTCATCAGCCAGTGAAATCCACACCAGTTAGTTTAAGCCAGCCAGCCACGTAGGAAGGTGAAGACTGTCTGACTTCCTGTTTGGGGTCCTTGGGACGATAAAAACCAATGGAGGCTGAAGACAATCGGTGATATGGCTCAAAATGCATCCACTCCTTGTGACTCATAATACCCAATGAAACTATATTGTTTCTCGTTATTACTATTCCTTTTATCTCATATCCCTGTTTACTGTCTCTATTTTGCATTTCTTTTACTTTTTCTCTTGCTTTGTGTGCTACAAGGAGGGGGAGTATGGCGACTTGAAGTGCTGCACACCGGTGCAAAGTAGTCTATGTCGAAAACAGACAGACAGACAGTGTGACTGCCAGCTAGTGTCGTAATTGGGCAATTTATCTTCACATGGTAGTACTTGGTAGACACTACTCCGTTGATCACGACTTCCCATTGAAACTCCAGGCAACATCATCCTATCATCAGTAGTCACAAGTAGTGAATACTAGGTTGAAAATTCTTTTTGTTTTTCAGTTCTCACTTTAGTCTTAGTATAAATCTGTGAATTGGGTTGTTGCTGAGGAGGAGACCGTCGTATGACATCACTTTCACAATGCAGGTCACCTCTCGAGTGGTACCCGAATGTGAAACGACAAATGGGTCGTGTTCAGATGAAATATAAGAGATCGTGTTGTGTGAAGGAGAGATGAGAGACTGTCAGCGGCAATAATGTGGCTAACTAACTAAAGATGACAGCGGAAAATAGAACAAAGTGGAGACGTTTTATTGAAGTTCTATGTTCCAATCGAAACTCATAGGAACAATGATAATAAATCTGTGTGGCGGAGTTATAATTTATTGATTTAGGCACAAAGGAATTTCGATTTCATCTCTACCTATGCTGCGAGCAAACAAGTCATAGTATACTAGTTGTCATTTTGTACCTGATGCCCACCACTGACTGGCCATAGTCTGGTTACCTGGGTTCTAGTGGGAAGTCGAGACCATTGTGAGGATAAATACTCGCCGCTGATGATGGCATTCACTAGCAGTTCCGCCATATTGTGAAATGGCAGAAGTTGGAATTCATAGACGACGGGTCACTGGATCGCGTCTCAGGGGCTTAATGGTCTTCGAACTCGTCTTGCGGCCGGAAGGTCCTGGGTTCGAACCCTGGTGGTTGGTGCGTACTACTGAAGAGTCTCAAACTAGGAAGAAACAGTTGCTATGTCAGTACTCTCTGGCGGTTTTCCAATGGTCTTCAAACTAATCATATCCCTGTAAACCAACACTTGTGTGGTTGTTATTGATTGTTTAGCCAACAAATAAGCGAATGGTTGTTTGTGTCATGTTTAGTTCATCTATCTTTAATACATAATTAATTATCAGAAAGGGTTCTTTCAATAAGGCTTTAAAACTCTAACGGATTTTTGCTGATTGACATCAGGAAGTACTACTGGACAGCTGTTTCGTCAGCCTAGTCTGGGACTCGACCGCCAGGGTTCGAACCCATTAGGACCTTCAAGTTAAAGTTAATAGGCAAGCTCGTAGACCGTCATTCAGCCAGTGGGATACAACTCAGTAGATGATCATTTTGTAGCCTCCTTTGTTGTTCAGAGAAAACACACATCAAAAGCGCTTGTCTGAATACTATCCAGTGAGGTGGTCAAGAAGACATTGCTAATCGTTTATTACCTCAGTATATTTCTGTAGTATTCAGGGAAATTAAGTAATTCGGCTCTGCTAGAGAGTCCTCTTCAATGAGTTATCTACAAAATAAGGTGGAACAGCACAAGAGGTGTTAGGCTTAACTCTTGTGTATGCCGTAGACATTAGTGATATATGTCTACATGTATCGATTCATTAGTCTACTGACCCAATGGAAATTATCTCAATATTATTATATTTAGTTTTCCATTGGGTTTCTTTCACAGCATATCTCTATTCCACCCTGTTCTCTTCAGCCCTTTTTCAGTTGACTCCATGATTGATCCCATAAGGTTTCAATCCCCCCCTCTCTCCTCATACGATCTTCTTCATGTCATACTCGGGCATCCAAGTCGTCGTATCCCATTCGGGTCACAATTGACGACTTGCCTATATATATATATATATATATATATATATATATATATATATATATACCGTGCTCGAGAACATCTCACACTATGGCTAAGTAAAGGTGTAGTGAAAACCATTAACAGTTCGATATTGGCCCATCTAGTGCAAACCGGCCACAAAGGCAGCCAGCATTGAAGAATCCTTCTCTATCATCATCTACCGGGTGCCACATAAATTGCCAAGAACATCGAAGCACCGCATGCTCCAAACAGCAGAAGGCTATTATAATTCGCCTCAAACAACCAGTGCTCTGTGTGCAAAAGAAGCAAGTCCAACCAGCCATTACTACTGCCCTGGCCAGCCTTCAGTAGAGATAATAAATTCATGAATTTGTAATATTATCTTTCTTGATTTTTCTGACATTCAGCTTATTTTATGTTGATGCTATTGAACTATAATCCATTGTTATTATTATTATTGATTCGATGTTATTAAAACAGCATTAATGTTGTTCATAACGCTAATTCATTCATTCATTCACTATAATGTGTATGTATAACTGTAGAGCCTGATGATGAAGTTATCGAAAAGAATATTCTTTGTTCAGTATCCATTGTTATATATATATATATATATACTAACACCTTTTTTGTTTTTCCTCTCTTCTGTACAGGATCGTGATTTACTCTGTCGTGTTCTACTCGGTGGTGAAATGCCTCCACCTGTATCTCGAGCTCATAAACTTACAGATGAACGATCAGAAAAACGTGACGCCAAGGTATGAATATATATATATATATATATGCATGTTAATTTCTTATGGCTTACAACTATTTAAGCTTTTATTTCACATGTATATATTGTGCGTCGGTTGTTCAACGGTAGGGTGTTCTGCAGTCAAGTAAAAGATCCGGATTTGAGTTCTGGCCGGTAATCAACTAGGAGAAATGATTGGACGTAACGCCAGCAACTCCATCGTGTTGTTGTTGCTGTTGTTCCGGTTGAAACTTCAAGGCTTTGAAGGCCTATGTTCCAGTCAACCATCTGTGAAACACTCTGTTATATGACCAGAGTGTTAGTCATTTGCGTGGTTGTCGAGTTGTCTAACTTGACTAGAATGTGCTTCCAGATCCGGGGCACTCTAACTGAATGATCACTTAAAAGTATTTCCAAAGTGTCAACAACATTAATATTATTATTATTGTCCCCTTAGGTTCCTAGTGGAACATAAGACTACACGTCTCCACTTGCTTCTGTCTTCTGCTGTACTTTCCACCTGCATCCATGTTACTCCATACTGTTTCAACTCCTCTTCATACGATCTCCTCCATGTCACCCTTGGACGTCCCACTCGCCGCTTCCCTTTCGGGTTCCACTCGAGGGCCTGACGCGCGATGTCACTCAACGGCCTCCTCAGCGAGTGTCCAATCCATCTCCACTTTCTCCTGCATATTTGTTGATTGGCAATTGGTTCTTGTTTCGTTTGTTCCCATAGTTTCTTGTTGGTGATTCTTTCCGGCCATCTGATCTTTAGTATAGAGCCAGCGAAGACAGTTGTTGTTGATAAAGGTCTGCAACAGGCTGTTGGAAATATTCTTTGTGACATACTGGCCAAGTTTCTGATCCGTATAGAAGAACTGATTGACTTGACGTTTGTATTGAAAATCTGAATTTTGAAGAACATTAATAACGTTTTATTTATCAAAATACCAGGGTATATATATATATTTGAACAAATCAAGAACTACAGTTTTAGCAGAATAAAATGTTACCATCTTTTATTTCGTTGCCTCCTCGTCAGCTGCTAACAGGCCAAAGACATTAATTAAAATATATCTACAAAAACAATTTTAACATACTTGCACAGAGTTCATTTTAAACAAAAATCAATCGATCAATATACGCATACCCTAATTATATATACATATATATATGTAATATTAAACACTATTCCGAACAATAATAATCATGCACAATGAAAACTTTTCAGTATCTGGAATTCGAGATGAAAAATATCCAGTTACCAGGGCAAAGAAAGACTGATAACTGCTTCTTTCTGAAAGCACAAATCAGGTTTCAGGTGCTTGATGGAAATGGCTTCAGCAAACTTGAGGAGCATAGAGCTCTTTTGCTTATTGATAATTTGAACGACATTTCCACGTCCATCTCATGACCAGTGTCAAGAAAATGCCTGGCGATGGCACTGCTGAAAGCATTTGTTCCCTTTAGACGTAAGCGTTTTGGTATATGTTCAGAAAATCGTAGATACGCCCTTCTTACTGTTCTTCCAATGTAATCGCTCCTGCAGATACATGTAAATTTGTATATACAGTTGGAGTTAACATGAGAAGGATATCTATCGATTTTTGATTGCATCAAAGAGCAAGTTGTTCGATAGACGGGAACGAGCGTAGCTGCAGGATAGGCTATGGCTAGTCGTGATGTGCTCAGCCTTCTGTTGATCATCGCTGAAATGTTTTCACCTTTATAATCGAGCTGAAAGTAGACTGGATTTTTTCTTACTATGATTTGTTTTACATTTGTTACTTCAGATCTTCCATACTTGTTGATGAAGCTTTGAGGGTACCCATTGCTCTTCAATGTCTTTTCAAGACATAGTTCGCTAAGCTAAACCATAAATAAATAAATGAATCTGATTGGTTGTATGACATTGCAGTCCTCGGAAATGTAAGTCATAAATAAGCCAATCAAAAACTGCCCAATCAGGTTGTTGCATCAGTGCCGCATAATTTATGACTTGACGGCTAACAGTCATAGCTTGTCCTCTCCTAACGCACACCCTAACTGAACAACTAAATTTTCAACGCAGTATTTTACCTGATAAAAGTGTTACAACAGAAGACAAGGCCAGCCAGGCAACAGATTGTTTATTTAGGAAATCAACAGAAATTTTCTAGATTTTCATGTACATTATTATAGATTATTGTAAGCAAACGAACACAGTCTTCTAATTGGTGGTTTCTCTTTGAATGTTAATCTTTCATCTCTTTGTGGCCGTTTAATTGAAGTTCAGATTACCTATCTGCGAATTGTATCCGCCTACGCAAAGTCTGCTGTGATTGGTTGTTGAATCAGTCTTTGTTCTTATCTTTCTCACGACAAATATTGGGGACGTAAACATTGACGCAAATTAGTGTCTATCAATTCGGCTAGCAGCCAGCTCCGATCACAAAAGGACATCATTTTATGCAGTGACACATTAAGGTAAAGAGAGAAGAGCTCTGAAGCTTCATTAGCGGTGGTTTATGTCTTTTATCGGGTGAAGGTGGTTGCTAGCCTCACGTCTAAAAATCTCCGCTTCTCACCAGTCTTGCTACCACCGATTAAGCAGAGTAGAGATTAAGAGTAAGTCCGTAAATTGAACCTGGACCATGTGTGTTTGTTTGTGTTTGTATATGTGTGGTATGATTGGTGAGCGTGTTCTACCACTGAACCAACCGTCAACACACACACGCACAACATGGGGAGAATATAATGAGCGTTTAATAAATCTGTGTGCACTCACAAAGAATTTAATGCATCTCTGCCATTGAAAATGATTTCCACCCATATCGTCGGTGGCACAGCGGTTAGGAATCTCGCCGACCATGCACATGGTCCGAGGTTCGATACCCCGCCGACGCACACAATATCAATGGTCGGCCTGTTAAATTTGGACTACCAATCTGATCCCTAGGTCAGTGTGATAAGATTTCCCACTTCGAGGAAGCCAATGGCTAGGAATGCATAACACGCGTGACCTAGCCAATTTCAATCGACATTGTTTGCTTGAGGCGGGGAAATCAGTCGACGAAACTGTGAAATTACATCGACTGAGATGGTTAGGACATGTGCTACGTATCCTTAGTCATCGCCTTCCTCGACAATGGGTAATGTTAGCTGATATAGGGTCAGGCGGGAAAAGAGCTAGCTGTGGTCGAACCGAAACATGGCACCAGTCAATGAAATCTACAACAGTTACTTTAAGCCATGTAGGAAGGTGTAGACTTCCTGACTGGTTGGGGTCCTCGGGACGGTGAAAACCAATGGTTGGAAACAATTGGTGACATGGCTCAAATCGTTATCATCAGCTGTCGCAGACGCATCCACTCCTTGTGACTTATGATTTCCAACTAAAATGTTTTGTTCTTCGTTATTACTATTCCATTGTCTCACACCTCTGTTTACTGTCTCCAGTATGCATTTTTTCTACTTTCTTCTGTTCCTTTGTATGCTACAAGGAGGGAGTGTGGCGACTTGAAGTGCCGCACATATGTGCAAAGTTCTATGTCGAAACTAGACAGACAGACAGCTGGTAGGTGTAATAGGGTGAGTGACATAGAGTTCTAGGCTTTTTTGTCAAATGTTAAGTAGAGAGGAAAAGTCATTCGATGTTTGTAAACTTCAATCGATCGCGCATGCCAAGTGATCGCCTTCCTCTATAGGGGCGCCGATGTTTCACCTGACACATACACGATTAGGTTGGAAAAGAGATAGACGTGGTCAAACCATGATCAATCCATGAAACAGTTAGTTTGAATCAGTCAGATAGGGGGGGAGTGTAAACTGGTGGTGGCTAGCTCTAAGGCCCTCAAGATATTAAGAAAGAACCAATGAGGACTGGAGCCAAGTATGATATGTGATATGGCTTAAAATTATTCTCGGTGACGCGAATCTCAGTATTCATTTTTTGTTATCTGCCATATATACGTTAGACCCTATTGTCTTTCTATGTTACACTATTCTATCTCTCTTACATTCCTGCTCATTATTGTTCTTTGAATTTCTTTTGTCTACACCTTTGTGTGCTACATGGAGTATGGCAACTTGTAGTTGTTGTCCTTCTGTGTAAAGTTCTGCACTGAAAACAATCAACCTGAAATACTCAGAATACATGTTCCTGTCTGTCTGTCTGTCTGGATTCAACATAGAACTTGGGACCGAAGTGCACCAGTTCGAGTTACCACGTTCCAAATAGCACACAAAGGTAGACAAGAAGATGAGTGATGAAGAGAATCAGTAAAGTTTTGACAAGTATAAGAGTGAAACAGAGTGAGTAATGGTAGAAAGGAATATGAATGATTACAGAGACTGAATACATCTGTATAAGCCATTGACAACGATTTTGAGCCATGTCACTTATTGTCTCCAGCCATTGATTCTTAGAGTCCCGAGGATGGGCCCCAACCCGGAAGTCTGCATCTCCCTCCCTACCTGACTCAGTTTAACTGTCAAGGATTTCATGGATTGATGAGGCCATGTTTTTGTTTGGCCACCACTTACTCTTTTCCAACCAACCTGCACCTATATCAGCTAGTAATGCCCGTCCGTCGGGAGAGGCGATGGTTAGACATGCGCAGCACGTGACCTAACCATCTCAATCTATGTAACTTTAGAGCATCGTCGACTAATCTTCCCTCTTTACCCAACACTCTACACCTATCGTCAACATTACTTACCTTATTATGCCACCTAACGTGAGAAAGAGATCGTTGACATCTATGATCAAAAACAGACAACCTTTTCATGTCTTCAACTCGTATTGGCCATGTTTCAGAGCCATAGAGAAGGACGGCGCGAACTGCTGCTGAGCAGTACACACGCCCCTTGGTTGATAGCCAGATGTCACGCCTACGCCAGAGATGGTGTAAGTTGGCGAAAGCGGCTCGAGCTTTTTGTATCCGTGCTGAGATTTCGTCACCAATCAATCCGTTGCTGGTGATAGAACTTCCTAAATAGGTGAAGTGGTCAACATGTTCTATCACTTCACTCCATATCACTAAGCTAGGAGTTGAAGTAGTCCAGTCGTTCCTGTAGCAGCATCTTACATTTTACAGGGGCGAGTCGCATGCCAAACATACGAAGATTGCTGCTCAAGGTGTTCAGAAGATTCTGCATTTTGTCAGCATCCTCCCTTAACAGGACAATGTCATCTGCATATTCGAAGTCCACTTTGGGTGAATGAATAATGCCCTTAGTGTCATGTGAACTCAGTAACCTTTTCTGTAAACTCCCCGAAAATCATTCATACCAGGCCATAAGAACCACCTCTCGTGTGTAACCAGTACGATGATTTGAAGTGATTTATTCAATGTTGACATTTCTCAATCGGAAGTGACCAGTTTCAGGCTGGTGAATGCCACCAGCAAACATAGATAAGTTTTGAGTGCGTCAATACTTCAATGGTAGAATGCTGCTTGGTGACCACGTCGAACATTGTCCGGAGTTCCATCCTCGATTGACACACTAGCCAACATCACGAATTGTACTGTGGCACTGTGATGGTGTGGTGAGAGCTGTCGGCAAGACAAAATTGTAAACAACAATTCACTTCCTGAATCGGGGTCATGAGAAGAAACAAGAACAAATCCTAACCTTGAGGAACTCAACAACCAATCACAGCAGACTTGGCGTGTGTGGATAAGATTCGCAGATATACAGATAACTTTGTAAGCAACGGTCACAAGCAGTACAGATTAACCTTCAGCAGGAAAACAACGAATCAGAAGACGTTGCTTCTCTGCTAACTATAACGAATAATAATGTACATAAAAATCTATAAATAAATTATTCTGGAACTTTTCCACCCATTGGTTATAAATACACAAATGTACAGCCTAGTTGATGACTTCGTCGAAAAGAAAATTTTCTTCATTGCAACCGTCTTTTTATAATTCCTATAAATATCTCTTGATTTTCTCAATAAACCATCTGTTGCCTGGCCCTTGTCTCCTGTCGTTGCATTTGGTGTCGCTGCCTGCCGATAAATGGAAAGCCTACACCCTGCAGTTTTTGATGGAGACATATGGATTTTCGGGTAGGACTTTGAGGCTGTTTCGCAGTTGAGTGGCGTTCAAGATCTGTCAGCGATGAAGCTGTTACTTGGAACGGTACTGCGAGGTCGGGCGCTAGCAGCATGTGATAGTGTGAGGCGAAACACTGACGAATGTGCGCCAGGGTCATGCAAACAGCTTTCCAAGTGGGAAGTACCACACATGGTCACTGTTAGACGGAGTCACGTTCACAAATGTAGACAAAGAGGAACGGGTGAATGTCAGCGAGCTCTGGAATTCCAGGCAGCAAGACAAACGAATAAAGCAACCAGAACCAAGAAGACTGAACCAACTTCAGTTGAAAGTCTTTGACGAGGGGACGAGTGTGGTGAGAGTTGTCTGTAACACAGAATTGTAGACAACAATTCTCGTCAATGTCTACATCCCGAATCGAGGTCATGAGAAAAAAGAAACGAAAACAAAGTCTAACCTCGAGGGACTCAACAGCGTGGTTGGATACGATTCGCAAATATTTCACCGGACTGTCTATGAAAAGGCAACAAAAAGATGACAGAATAACCTTCAGCAGGAAAACAACTAATCAGAAGATGCTGCTTCTCTGCTAACTGTAACGCTGATAATAATGTACATAAAATGTACAGCGAAGAGACTCTTTTCAACAAATTTATTATTAAGCTGTACAATGGTATATATACGGTTTTTTTAAGAAATTATACCCGGTGAGGGAGTTAGGTCAAAGGTGTGAATACATGAAATAATAATAGTATAAAATGCAATTAAAATATTTGTGATTATAATGAAAGTTCAATGTCAAGTGGCAAAATAATTAATGTCGTACATAGAATAATACAGAAGGTGTATAGAATTTTGGAAAGGTGTACATAATTATAAGATTAGTAGACGAATATAAAATGTTACATAACATGGTGTGAAATTTGATATGATATATTTCAATATTGTAAAAATGAAATTATAAAAATCAATAATCTTGGGTTTAAAGTGTAAAGTGGGTCAAGTGAAAGAAATTCAGAGTGAGAATAGTAACAATAATAATGATAATAATAATAATCGTAGTAATAAGGGAAAGGTACATGGAATAACTAAATAAACAAAATAAATGAATGTCTATCCCTCTACGGGCAAGGCAGAAGTACGGATTGTACATACTTCTTTTGTACACAAAGGTCTGGCTTAAATTCGCGAATGGCCAAGGCCTCCGCTGCCTTTAGAAGTGTATAATGAAGAAAACGCGGCCAACAAGTTAGCATGGATTCGGTAGATAATCTTAAAATCGTGGTCAAGGTTGGTAAAGTGACAGAAGTCGATCAGGTGTTCCAAAATAGAGCTTCGCGCACACTTCCTTTCTCCCTTATAAAACCAAGCTGGAATATGTTCTCGTATCCGTGTGGAAAGCGTCCTCTGACTACGGCCAATGTACCTTGCTCCACAAGAGCAGGTGAACTGATAGATGCACATGGGGGCGGCCAGACCATATATATACGGTTGTACAGCTTGATAATAAATTCATTGAAAAGAGTCTCTTCGCTGAATATTGTGTTCTTAATGCTACAATGGGAATTACTAAATTATTGTATAAATATCTGTTGATTTTCTCAATAAACGATCTGTTGCCTGGCTGGCGGCCTTGTCTTCTGTTTGTCGTTACAATGGTGCTTCCTCTGAGGCTCGAACCAAATAGGAATACCATTGATTATTCACTAGCGACACGAGTACCAAAGAGGATGAAATGCGCATCCAGGTGAATTCCATTGTTAGTTACTATCCACCAAATTTGTATTCCCTTGACCAAAAGTTCACCATCTATCTGCCTGCATCTTTTTGTCTATTCAATAATAGATGTTATCAAAAATGTTAACTCAGGAAGTAAAAGTCTTTATTATTATTATTATTATTGGTAGTATTTTTCATTATGATGCCATATGTTGTTGTTATGACTTAAAATTATAAAACATAGATATTCCTATTGTTAAAATAAATAGTTATGACTTATCAAGCGAACAATCCCCATTGTTCAACTTCTTGCCCATTGTAATTGCATATCACATATACTTTTATTTTTCACGTGTTCTGCCTTTCAGTGCACACTACTACTACTACACTCCTTTTGTAATCTTTAGATGTAAAGTATAATCCTGTTTGTGTGAGTGTGTGTGCGTGCATGAGGGAGTGTTCCAGAAATTTGATGAATATGACATGAGTTGTGTTCATGTAGTATTGTTGTTGTTGTTGTTGTTGTTCTTGTACAGGTTAAGATTAGAATCTTCAGTGGAACTAACTAACTAACTTAGGAATCAATTTATAACTTTGTACAGAATTTTCGTATCTATCTGTTTGTTTTCAACACATAGAACTACTTTGCACCGATGTGCCGCACTTCAAGTCGCCATACTCTCCTTATGTAGCACACAAAGCAAGAGAAGAAAGTAAAAGGAAATGCAAAATAGAGACAGTAAACAGGGATATGAGACAAAAGGAATAGTAATAACGAGAAACAATACGTAGTTTTATTGGGTATTATGAGTCACAAGGTGTGGATGCATCCGCACCGGTTACTGAGAACGAGTATTGTGAGCGATATCACCGACTGTCTTCAGCTTCCATTGGTTTTTATCGTCCCGAGAACCCCAACCAGGAAGTCTACACCTTCTGACTACTCCCGATCTACTAATTTGAACTGTGTAGTTGACTTAACTCAAAGTCATTGCAAGGTATTTTGTAAATTATATTATTTTGTCTAATAATTGGGTCAACCGACATGGTCCTTTAACCTACAGAGCTTGTTATACCTACGTAGGGAGGATCTCAGATGTCATATTATCGGTGCAGACTGAATTCCATCAGTGACGTCCGCCCCCATTCTAGGTGGTTCGCCATCACGGTGCACTTTGAATTGTTGATATTAGATGGTTGAAGGCAGTCGGCCACAGAAAGTCTTGCTTGGCCTATGTTTCGTGCTGGTGGGCACTCACAAGTCAGCGATCACTTTGAAAGGCACTCATTTCCTTTCTGAAATCCGAACCCGCGTCACCCAGTTGGCGTCTGAAGTCAGAGAAGTTAACACTGAACTATTCGGGCTGACTCACAATTGACCTCCTGTAGGACTGACTGTATTGGATACTTCTGACCAATAGCATTTAGTCTGCGCTAAACAAAGGACTCTAGACATATTACGCCAGTTAGTAACTAGTATTCATTCCGATTGTTGTCACTGGCAGAGAGGTGCGTTCACCCACCGTTTTTATTATTTCTCAGATCCATTTGGATCTTCAACTTTTCCAGTATACAAGTCTTTCTCTCTCTCTTGCATTTCTACTTTCAAATCTCAACAGTAGCATTAGAGAGAGAGAGATCTCATGAATGGAAATTATCTTAGTTGTATGCATGTTAATTATTTCTTGTAATATGTATACTCTCTTTTTCTATTTATATAGAATAACAGTACAGAATGGAATTTCGATACAGTCGGTCGGATATCTGGGGGTGGTGTGGTGGTGGTGGTGGTGCAGACAGCGATGAAGATAGTGATGAAAGTGATTATCAAGCTGCTGCCACTGATCGTCCGGGTCATATGCAACCACGTGGTTCAACCAGTGGAGGTTTCGATTTCCCGCCAGAATTGTTAACTCAGACGAATGCAACTACAGCTGTGCCTGGTGGTTCATCTCCGTCGGCCGCAGCCGCTGCGGCGGCAGCTGCAATAGCTGGAGGTGCTGGTGCGGTTGTCGGTGGTGGTGCTGTTACACCTAATGCACTTGGTACAGAAAATTATAATATTGCTGTTTGTGGATCATCTTTCCCTCCAGCTCCAGCGTGTACACCTGCTTCACCGGAGACAGCGAATTCAGTTAGCGCTATGGCAGCAGCATTTGCCAGTACACTGACTACAAATGATCCGAATGCTCAACAACAGCAAACACAAGCAAATGATGCAGTGAGTCGCTTGTGTAAACGCTTTGATGTATTTTCTTTTACGATATTATCTCACTATTCTTTTGGATTCCGTGTGGAACACACGGCTTCATTAACACACCTTCCTTTCACGGAATATACACATTATTATTATTATTGTTCCCTTGGGTTCCTAGTGGAACATAGGCTTCAACTGCACGTCTCCACTTGCTTCTGTCTTCTGCTGTACTTTCCACCTGCATCCATGTTAGTCCATACTGTTTCAACTCCTCTTCACACGATCTCCTCCATGTCACCCTTGGACGTCCCACTCGCCGCTTCCCTTTCGGGTTCCACTCGAGGGCCTGACGCGCGATGTCACTCAACGGCCTCCTCAGCGAGTGTCCAATCCATCTCCACTTTCTCCTGCATATTTGTTGGGCGATTGGTTCCTGTTTCGTTTGTTCCCATAGCTTCTTGTTGGTGATTCTTTCCGGCCATCTGATCTTCAGTATAGAGCGAAGACAGTTGTTGATAAAGGTCTGCAACAGGCTGTTGGAAATATTCTTTGTGACCCACTGGCCAAGTTTCTGATCCGTGTAGAAGAACTGACTGACTTGACGTTTGTATTGAAAATCCGAATTTTGTTGTTGATGCTGAGTGAGTGACGAAGATTTCCAGATTGGTTTCAGGTTGATGAATGTGTTTCTCGCCTTCCCGATTCTCGCTCGATTTGACATCCTCGTCCGTTCCTCGTGTAGTTGAGACAATGCCTTCTAGATAAGTGAATGAATGAAGTAACCTCTTTCAAATCCCTCCCGTTGATGGTGATTGGCGCTGGATGTTGCTGCTGTTGTTGTTGTTGGTTGGTTGGTTATTTTCATAACCTCCGTCTTGTCTATGTTCACCTGGAGTCCTGTCTTTGCTGCTTCTTCGATCAGTTTGTCGGTTTTTGCTTGTGAGTCTTCGATTTTGTGTGACATCAAACATAAATCATCCACGCGCGAAATCCAGGTCTTCTAGGTTCTTCACGTCGGTCCAGGATATCCCTGTCTTCTCGTTTCCCACTGTCTGACGCATAATCCAGTCCACCACAATTAGGAATATCATTGGTGATAATAAGCACCCTTGTCTGACTCCTGTGTTTACTCCAAACGCCTCGCTGAGTTTTCCGTTGTGGATCACTTGACATGTGCCGTTGACATTTGATCATAGGAATTATTAATAAGAGGACGGTTGCAGTGAGGAAGAAAATTTTCTTTTCGACGAAGTCACCGTCATCTAGGTAGTCTGTACATTCGTGCATTTATAATCAATGGGTAAGAAAGTTCCAGAATAACTTCCGGTCAGCATTCAAATTAATATAAAATTACAATTAGGAATTTAAATGCTATAATAAAACAGAGGGGAAAGGATAAAACTCAAAGAAAGTAGCATCGTAATTACTGAGAAGATTGACATATTGTGCAATTAGGGGTTAGAAATGTAGAAATAAGAAAAATATACAGGATGTTTGGATAAAAAATCTAGTGGGATCATGACTAATGTGACGAATAATTATTTATGCAATCAGGGATTACATATGTAGAAATAATAAAATGACAAAATAGACAGGAAGTTCGGATATGAAAATATGGTAGTAGAATAAACAGGACGTTTGGATAAGGAAGGTAATGGGATAGTCACTATTAAAAGAATTACCTGTTTAAGATGGCCATGGCAGGGACAAGGGTTGGACGTATTTCTTTTGGATACATAGCGTGTATATTATATTTAACTCTGTTTTCTGCAGCCTTTATTTAGCTGTCTTTTTTTAACATAGGCATTCTTACCGGCGTCCAAAAATCATTATATTTCTTGACCTAAAGGCGGAATTCGATTCTGTCGACCGAGAGGTTCTCTGGCGATGCTTGGCTGTAAAGCGAATGACGAGAAAATACATTGCACTGATTAAGGCACTCTACTCGAACTCATGCAGCCAGGTGAGGGCTTACGGCGAGTTGTCATCTGAAATGGTGACGACTAGTGGCGTCCGTCAAGGATGCCCATTATCCCCATTCCTATTCAATTTCGTCATAGATGTACTAATGGACTTAACCCTAACTCACTTCAGCGACTCATGGATCGACTAGCTACCAGGGAATAATCTCGTTGACTTAGAATATGCAGACGATATAGACCTTCTAGGCGAAGACGGTGACAAAATACAGAGTCTTCTGAACACCTTGAGCAACAATCTTCGTATGTTTGGAATGCGATTCGCCCCTGTAAAATGTAAGATGATGTTGCAGGATTGGACTACACCGACCCCTAGGTTAGAAATAGGAAGTGAAGTGGTAGAGCATGTTGACCGCTTCACTTATTTGGGAAGTACCATCAGCCAGTGCCAACGGGTTGAAAAATAAGATATTGATTTTTAATTCCAATGTGAAGTCAGTGCTACTATCCGGATCAGAGACTTGGCGCCACACCGCGTCACGAAGAGCACTTCAAACAAACTACAGACTTTCATCAACAGCTGTCTTCGCTTAATGCTTCGCTCAAGATCAGATGGTCAGAAGAAATAAGCAAGAGGGATATCTGGGAACAAACTGATCCAACAGGAGCCAATTGTGCAAGAAATATGCAAGAAGAAATGAAGCTGGAATGGCTATACTCTGAGAAAACAAACCATCAGGTGACATCACACGAGACAGGTCATCGCTTGAGTGGAACCCGAATGGGAAACAGCGAGTTGCTTGTTAGTGCGAGAGTGACATGGTGGAGGCGGTGGTGCAAAGAAGAGATGAAAGCATGTGGGCAGATGTGTAGCCAGGTGAGAAAAAACGTTGGCAGAGAACGGAACACAGTGGAGATGTGCGTCTGAAGCCCAATGTTCCTTTAGGAACTAAAGGAGACAATTAATTAATATCCTACATTCCCGCTAAATCTATTTGTTTGTTTGTAAATTCAGTTTTTCCTCATTTTAGGAATATTTATCCTTTAAATTGTCTTTATTTTAGCTTCACTTTTTGTTTTGGCATGGAAAAACTAGAAAGTTTGGGAGACAGGTATATTTGTCACATGCTGCATAGACATCTACAACATCGAATTGCGCTAGTCTGGTTTCCCTTCAACTGTCCTGTCTACCTCCACTTCTATCTAGTCAAGCGTTTTTTTTACACATGTGATTTTCATATTAATAATAATAATGATAATAGTAATATGCTTTATTCCAAAATAGTAATTATGATACAGTCTAGAGTTCGAAGTGAGCTACAAATCTTCTCTATTATATCTACAACTAGATAAGATTGTAACGGTTAACAAATTGTAAAAACTAGAGGATTGTCTTCAGTTTTTCTAATGTAGAAAGTTATTCGAAACATTTTCTTAGATAAAGGATGATGAAGAAAGTTCAGACGATAGAACTATTCCAAGACTACTTTATGCTTGGCGTTGTTTCCTCTTCAATGCTGTCTAGACTACAAGCATTTATTTTGTGAATGAACCAGTTTTGTGTCCAATCGGTTCTTCTATACAGGTCAGAAAGTTGCACTGCGTGTCACCGAAAGGATTTCCAACAGTTTACAGACTTTCATCAATAACTGCCTTCGCTGACTCCATACTGAGGATCAAATTGCCAGAAATGATAAGCAACAAGAAACTATGGGAACAAACTAACAGGAAAGAGCCGATCGCTCAACAAATTATGTAGAAGGAAGTGGAGATGGATATGGCATAGATTGAGGAGGCCGCCGAATGACATCACACGCCAGGCCAGTGCTCGAGTTGAATCCAAATGGGTAGCGACGAGTGGGTCGTTGGTGTGAGGGTGACACGGAGGAGATCGTGTGAGGAAGAGATGAGAGAGTTTAGTCAATCATCGACCCAGCTGAAGAGGACGGCAGAAAATAGAACAAAGTGAAGATGTGTTGTCGAAGCCCTATGTTCCACTCGGAACGCAAGGGAATAAATAAATAAATAATATAGGTACACCTATTGTATACAGCATTCTGTTAAAGAAATAAGAATGCAACCAATTAAATAGCCCAAGAATTCGGTTTGTCTCAAGGATAGCTTATTAAACAAATGACATCTTGGGTATATAGGGTCAAAAGAAAGGTAGATCAAACATGTTCGCCTTCGAGGATTTCATCATGAGCTGACATCAGTTCGAGAACCATTGGAAAACCTGCAGGGTGTACTGGACTGCTGTTTCTTCCTAGTTTGGGACTCTTCATCAGTACGCACCCACCACATGGAGTTCTTACCCAGGACCTTCTAGTTACAAGGCAGCGAGCTCGTAGACCGTTCATCTGCCACTGAGACCCGCCGATCCAATGGCCAGCCAACGCATGAGTTCTAACTTCTGCCAATTCATGACATAGCACGACCACTTCGCAATGTCTTCTTTGATGAGTTACTGCCTCACTTTCAACCTGCCACGCACCCTACTGGTCACGGCTTCCCACTAGAGCATCAGATGAATTTTCAAGTATTAGTTTTTTTGTGTAAGGATTATTAGTTTGATTGGTTGGAGAATTTCATCATGAGCTGATATCAGTTAGAGAACCATTGGAAAATCTGGCTTAAGTTGCCTAAACAAGAAATATCTTTATATATATATATATATATATATATATATATATATATATATATGCAAGTAAATACAGCATCTGGGCTTAGTAACACTGCCCTCATCCCCCTTTTTTTTTTTTTTCTCCACGTTTTTTAGCCTGTTGGTTTGTGTTATCGAATAACACTGCGTAAACGGAATCCAAAACAAAATAATGAACTTCAAGATATTAGCTTCAATTATGTTCCAGGGAAAGGTAGGTTATTATTGGACTATTATTGCTATTATTATTATTACTATTATTATTATTGCTACTTAGTGCTTGCTATTAGTTCAGAATTAACGTTTTGTTTTCTTTTAATGGCTGATTACTGAACAAAGAATATTCACTTCGATAACTTCTTCATTAGGTTCCATATATTATTATTGTTTCCTTTAATTCCTAGAGGAACATACGGCTTCAGCCGTGCGTCTCCATTGCGTTCGGTTCTCTGCTAGAGTCTTCACCTGGCTCCATGTCTGTCCACACACTTTCATCTCCTCTTCACATGACCTCCTCCAAGTCACCCCACCTTCGCACTGACGACCAACTCGCCGATTCCCTTTCAACTTCCACTCGAGCAATGCCTTGTCTAGTGATGTCACTTGATGGTTTCCTCAGAGTATGGCCAGCCAATCCATCTCCATTTCTTCCTGCCTATTTGTTTCACAATCGGTTCCTGGTTGTTTTGCTCCCACAGGTCCCTGTTGCTGATCTTTTCTCGCCGGCTGGCCATCTGATCTTGAATAGTATTGAGCGAAGACAACTAGCTGTTGATGAAGGTGTGTAGTTTGTTTGAGATGCTCTTTATGACGCGCAGTGCAAGTCTCTGATCCGTATAGTGAGTAGCACTGACTTCACATTGGAGTTGAGAATCCGGATCTTATTTTTCATTCTGAGCAGTGCTGTAGACCTCCACACAGACTCGAGAGTAGTGAAAGCTTGTCTTGCTTTTCCGATTCTTGCTTTGATATCCTCGTCATTTACGTCCGCCTGTAGTTGAAACGATGCTTCCCAGGTTGGAGCGCGCATAGCTCTGTGGTAACATCTCTGACTACAGACGGCACTGAGTGACATGGTTTCGGATCTCAGAAGTCACAAGAGTTTCTTAAAGGTGATGGAAGATACGCCTAGCTGACGAATGTCAACTAGTACGAAACCTAGGTCAGGCAAGGCTTCCTGTGGCCGATTCCCCTTCATCTAATCAATATAAGTATGGCATAACTAATAACGTGTACAGCACGACTTTTAACTAGATTTACAAAAAGGGTGTATATTGTTTTCAAAAAGAAGTGTAAAAAACCAACACCAGCATACAAATAAATGACTTGCTCACCAACTCACGTGTCATACATGTGAGCAGGGAATTGATTTTCTGTATTGTTCTATGTCTGTGTGTGTTTTAGTAAGTCATTGCTGCTGCACAGTGACAGTCTAGTAGTATAGTTTCTCTTGCCCTCTCTCTCTCTCAATGACTTGTTAAATTCATGTGGTCATTCTTACATGTGATTGATATATACATATATATTGCTAAAACTTGTCAAAATTCTACTCCGCTACCTCCCCCCCCCCCCCCGCGTCGGCACCCTTTTGTCATAGTTGACTATCACCTGAGTTTCAATGTAGAACGTTGCACACACTTAAAAGGAATTACAGCGTTTGAAGCAGCCGCGCTTCATAAAAGAACACTTAAAGGTAGAGGAGAGAGAGAGAGACAAAAAAGGAAGAGCACAGCAAGTGGAATTACGCCTCAGTGAGTGAGCGAGTGAGTGAAGTGTGTCTACACGATTGAGAAGGATTTAGTGTTTTTTCATGACACTCAATTCTCACAACTGTGAGTCACATCATTTGTCAGATTTCTTCGATTAAAGTCATTTTTTCTGATCCTATTTGACAATGATACATGTCAGGTGATCCACAACGGAATACTCTGAAAAACCTTTGAAGTGTGAAAACTGAATGCAATATGATAAAGCTGCTTGCGATCACAGATTGTATTCCAAATTGTCGTAGACTGGATTATGCAAGAAGACAGGAGGAATACGCCTCACACTGACCAATAAGAAGACTTTAGAAGATCTGGACTTCGCAGACCACTTAAGTCGAAAGTCACACAAACTCGAAGAGCTGAAGGCGAAAACCAAGGCGTTTGAAGTAGAGTCAGATAGAGTGAAGACAGGATTTCAAGTGGACATAGAGAAGTAGGAAGTGTTGGGCAACTCTAAAGAATGCGAGCCCAAACCGAAACGACCTACGAACGCACAAACGACCTTGTCAAGGACAACTTCGACTAATCAGAAGGCTCAAAAAAGACGGCGCATAATTGTAAAAAATCGTTTATATAAAAGTAATGCAATGTTAAAAAATAGTTACAATGAATACCGTTCTCGTATATGTTGCAAAAAATGGCTCCCAATTTCTCATAGGTGTCTTCATACTGATGTTAAACCAAGTTCTATACATAAACTCATCAAGATAACTGTATATCATTGGATTTCTAGATCCATTCTCCAATCTAATCCGTTTTTTAGATGACTCCAGAAACTTTCGATTGAATTAGTATGAGTTCCATCCAAAGGATTGCGAAAACCGTTTGTGTGGTTGACTGCATGATGAATATACCCGAGATTCGACAATTGACCGTAACTGCTCCATTCGTCTGTATGAATAGTGGTCCCAGGTAGCACTAAACGCTGGATAATAGGCAATGATACACCTGCACTGCGATTAGGAATCTACTCGACATATCCTTTTTTTTAATAATAATATAATAATAATAATGGCTTTATTCCAAACAGTATTTGTGGTAAAGGTATGGAATTTTCAGCGTTCATTACAATATTGCATCTAATTACCTCATAAATTTTATAAGGATTTAGAAATATAAAGCAACAACAACAAAAAGAAAAAGAGAAATAAAAGAGAAAAAAAGAACAGCATTTTCGGAGGGTAGTGTCGTAGATACCCAATATCCATTATTGGTTTGCTCGTAATCTGCCGCGATTGTATTTCCTTTCATTAATACGGTCTCATCAATTTGAACTATTACACCCACTCCTCCGAGAACTTGAGTTAGGCTGTTCATTTTCCATGACGATATGTCTCTGCAGTATTGGTACCACTGCACTGCAGACACTTCTGAATTTTCCGTTTCATAAACGGTTGCTGTAACTGGTCTGTTTAGTATCCAGAAATTACATATCATTAAAATTTTTGTTAAGGGTAATTTAGACTTTGAGAAGAAAGTGCCTAAGAAATCTGTAAACTACAAAAGAACGACATACCCTCTAGAACTGATTTTCTCCTCCGGCACTCATTACACCTGTACACAAACCCATCAATGGACTTTGTGTATTTTTGTATACACATATCACCTGCGCACTGACACATTTTCGACCTTGCAATCAGTACCTTATCCAAACAGTAATCAGAAACAAAATCCGGAGTGAATTTACAACGCAAAAGGTGTAGAGCATCCATATTTACTTCTATAAACAACACAGTCAGCTGATTGCTTTCCCAAGGTCGTTTGTACGTTCGTAGGTCGTTTCGGTTAGGGCTCCTATTCTTTAGAGTTGCCAATTGATAACGATAATCAACTCAATCAACAACACCAAGCACCAGTCACTATCAACTGGAGGAATTCGGTCGAGTTTGCTTTCTTCACTTATTTGGGCGGCATCGTTTCAACTACCAGGCGACAGTGTCACGAATGAGGATTTCGACACCAACATGGGAAAGGGAAACATACCTTCACATATCAATGTGGAAATCCTCTGCACTCATACAGCATAAAAAACAAAATTCGAACTTTCAACACCAATGTGAATTCAGTCAGTTCTTCTATGTGGGTCGGAAACTTGACCCAAGCTTCACGGAAAGTATTTCGAAGAGGCTACTGCACACCTTAATGAACAGCTTCTATTTCTGTCTCGATGCTGAATATCAGATGGCCAGTTGGCCAGAAAGAATAAGGAATAGAGAACTTTGAGAACGAACCAAATCCAGAAGCTACTGCTCAATGAATATGCCGAGGAAAATGGAGATGGTGCGAAGAGACGCTGTGGTGGCGACTGGGTGATTTCGCACTCCAGGCTATATAGCTAGGTCGAGTGAAATCTGAATGGGAAATAATGAGTTGGGCGTTGATCCGAGGGTGACATGAATGAGATCGTGTGAAAAGGAGATGAGGAGCCTATGTTAAAGACGACTGCAGAGAATAAGGCAAAGTGCAGATGTGTTGTTGTTGAAGCCCTATGTTCCACCTGGAAGCCAAAGGAATTATAATTTTTATAACCTTTGCTATATAGCCTCTAATATCGCTTGACGAGGTGTACTGTGAATTCGCATTCGTATTACAACATGTCCTAGTCGTCGAAATCGACTCAACTTCACAGACTAATCGACTTAAGTTAACTAACCTCAATATCACTTACTGTCAACGCGAGAAATATAAAGGAGATATGACTTCTTTCACTAATCTGAAGCCGGCGGTACTAATGAGGATGTCAAATCTAGTCGGCATAGGAAAAGCAAGACATATGATAGGCGTTGATTACTCTGAAATCAGTTGTGGAAATCTCCCGCATTCAGCATAATGAAGAAGATTCGGATATCCATTACTTCATGTCGAGACACTTGGCTTACATGTCGTCACCGGAAAGTAATTCCAACAGGCTGCCACAGACATTTAGTCGTTCATCATCGTACGGAATTCTGGCAATGAACTAACTAAAGGTCTATAGCTCAATAAATATGGCACAAAAGTAGTAAAGATGTATTGTATATAGATTGTAGAATAAAGAACGAATAGAAGAAGGTGTAAACTGCACACTAGTGTTTATAAAAGGCCAACGCATTCTGCTAATAGATATTTAGACCTCTTTAATTCATCTCATCCGTTCGGTGTCTGTGAAGGCAGGCTTAGTAGTTAAGTGTTTGTCTAACAAACCAAGCAGTAGCACTGAGTAGTACAAGAAAAGACCTAATTGGTGAAATAAAACAGATAGAAGAATAGCTGGTTGGTATCAAATAACTACCTACCCTATAAAATTCATTGGGAAGATCAGAAAAAGTCAAAAGCAAAATAAAAATAATGGGGAAACTAGTAATGATAACAAAAATAAGAGAGAATATAAGTCATCCACTGTTATACCTCATTGAGTAAGGTACATCAGCGTGGCGTAAAAGTAAAGCACTGGATGACTTCCCATTGT